GTCTCGTCTCTTCTCTTCTCTTCTCTTCTCTTCTCTTCTCTTCTCTTCTCTTCTCTTCTCTTCTCTTCTCTTCTCTTCTCTTCTCTTCTCTTCTCCTCTATTCTATGCTATGCTATCTGCCTTTTTCAGCTGTCGCTATTTTTTTTTTCTGAAAACAGCAAGAAAAAAGTCGCTGCTGTGTTTGCAATTCCTTCCTTTTTCCTCATCAAATTTATGCCAGGAGGGTGAATTTGGAAGGCGCGGAATTACCTAAAAGTCCTCTAATTCCTAGCACTAAAATAATACAATATTTTTTATAGGGTATGATTTTAGCACAAAACCTTCATAAATATTTTCTGCGGCGACATCGTGTCTCTTTAGCAGAGACTTTTTTTCGGCGATTTTTTCTTCCCCTTGTTGCTTCCCCTTTATTTGCTCTCTCGATTTTACAGAAAGACTTCCTGGATTAATTGCATCTTTAAAAGAGGACTAGAGGGCTAGGATCTCTCATATACGCGGTTCATTAAATTAGATTTCTCTCTTTTATTAACCAGGATGCTGTATTGGTAACTGGCTTGAAAGACATCTCACTTGTTTCGTTAAAGGATGGTTCATTACTGTCTTCGCACTCGATACCGTGTGAACCGCTCTCTCCCATCGTACACGGAGACTTCACAAATGACGGTTTAATGGACTTTGTTGTGCATTGTAAAACAAGGTGAGCTGGACTTCTATTGACTGAGTGTTAAAAGTATTTTTTTAGTCGGTGGTGTAATTCTATCTGCGTTGAAAGTTAAAATCAATTAGATTTTGCTCACCTTACGTATTACCGCGCGTGCTTTCTATTGGGTACTTTTTTCCCGCGTTTTTCTTGATTGGTGGTTTCTTTCTCGCGCTTGTCGGGGCGCTGGTCACGGGTTTCCTGTGGCTGGTCCTTAATTTCATTTTCCCGCGTTTGACAATGGCTGCTCTATTTCCCGCCCTTACAGGGCCCTTACTCTTCGTCTGGTAGAAACTACGGTATTTAATGAGACCGGTGTNGTGCATTGTAAAACAAGGTGAGCTGGACTTCTATTGACTGAGTGTTAAAAGTATTTTTTTAGTCGGTGGTGTAATTCTATCTGCGTTGAAAGTTAAAATCAATTAGATTTTGCTCACCTTGCGTTTTACCGCGCGTGCTTTCTATTGGGTACTTTTTTCCCGCGTTTTTCTTGATTGGTGATTTCTTTCTCGCGCTTATCGGGGCGCTGGTCACGTGTTTCCTGTGACTGGTCATTTTCCCGCGTTTGACAATGGCTGCTCTATTTCCCGCCCTCACAAGACCCTTACTCTTCGTCTGGTAGAAACTACGGTATTTAATGAGACCGGTGTACAGGTTTCGCTGTATCACATGATTGTGTTATCTCGTTCGCTCGGGAAGCTGCCATCGGATTTCACTCGCTATCATATTCAAGGTATCGGTTCCATGATTTAGGACCTGTCCACACTACGCACGAGGAATTTGAAAACGGCATTTTCACTCTGAAACCGCATCAAATGTTTTCCGTCCGCACTACGCCGGAGAAATTAAAAACGCAACAATCACCGGCCGTTTTGGATTTGTGTTTGAGCAAAACTCGGGCAGGAAAATCACGTGATTATGGTGATGTCATCGTTTCCGATAAGCTCCGTTTTCAAAATGTTTTCCGTCCAGACGAAAATTGAAAGCCGGCGTTTTCACATTCCTCCAGTTTGAAGCCCCGTTTTGACGGGAGTAGACTGGACGCGTAGTGTGGACGCTGCCTCATTTTATACACTTTGGCAATGTTTTGTCATCTAAAGATAACATTTTCTTTAGCTATCTCGGCTTCTCATTGGACAGTAGACCTGGATACTGGTGGACAGTGGTGTGGATCGCGTGTGGTCTGAGTGCAATTGTGGTAGCAGTTCTGATACTTCGTTGCATCGAAGAAGTGATTGCGTGACTACTGAAAAGTTTAACGCCACATTAAGTTGTGTGACTAAGCCGTGTCACTGTCTCAGATTCGCACGCTGCTCTGGTTTGTCCTCGGGAGTCGACTTTCTGGTCCTATACCGTATTCAACAGTATCGCCTATTGATGGTGATGTATTAATGACGACAGTAGATTGGAATTTGGAAGACCCTCTTGAGAATGCAGTGTACACACGACTGATTGCAGTTGATGCTCCAGAGCTAAGTGCAGTTCATTTTGTGAAGACAGATGGCTTGCAGCATATGTTTGTAAGGGGACACCTAAGCTTGTGTGCATTGTATTTCTTTCTAAGCCAGTTTGCTTACGCAGGGTGCGCCGAGCTGTGTGAAAATGGAATGGAACGCCAAGAAGGTCTTTATGGCCCTCCCATAAAAGAATTCCGGCTCAGGTTTAAGGCTCCACTTACAGAGAAAGAAGTAACATTTTTCCCGAGACTAAAAGCGTTGGTACCTGCTAAATCAGAGACAAGAAAGCGACTTACGTCACCATATGCTGTGTCCCAAGGTAGTCCAGACCAGCCATTTCTCTTATCAATAAATGCCTTAATGGTTG